GACCCCGAAGAGATCTGTGTCACCTCAAACTGTGGAAAAGGTGTAAATCACTGTCGAGTTTATTATCAATGCGCTGATATTTGTTTCTGATCAGAGATTAAAGGTCACCAATAAAAAAGGAGATGTGGCAATTACTTTAATCTGTCATCAGGTCAAAGTGCAATTACCTTTGGATTAAACAGGTATCCTTGGTATGTCTTCTAAGTTCTAGCAGCTGCAATTCCTTAACAGCAGATTAGAATCACCTATAACAACATTTAGGCATTTTCTGCATCATTAAAGGATTACATGCAAGTTCCAGTAACCCTGCGATGCACAGTTTGCATCGCTGTACATGCATTCCTCCAGAAGACTGATATCACACTTAACACGCGCTGTTGAAAAGGTGTCATTTCTAGCTGATTTTAAACAGAAACTCTCCGTGTCAGGTCATGTCTTCAGAGAGCCACTTTCATGACTCACAGAGTAAACCTCCAAATCCACTAAAGCTGCATTTGTCAAACCGAGATAGTCATTAACCACAAATTCTTACAGGGTGAGAAGGTGCGCAAAGTGAAAATATGCACTGTGAAGGGATGAAACGACGTCCCGCTGTGCAGGTAAAGTTAATGAGAACTTCATGTGAAAGAGGACACTTCTGTAAATACAGGCCATTTCCTGACACTCACAGGAACACGGCTTTATGCACGACGGATGCGTGTAAGGATGACGTCACGCTACCTCATATTCGTGGCGCTTCTCATAAATGGGGATAACAAGTTTGGCGATGTGTGTGATGACTTCGTAGCGCTCAGCTTTCCACAGCGCGTCCACGCAGACCTCGAGGTGTTCCACCAACACTTCCTAAACAATGGCAGAAAAAGAAATGTCCTTAAAATGTTAACACTGATTCATAAAACGGGACCCATTGTGCTCATTTCCTGTTTTATTTGTGGACTCTGGTAGAGTAGCTTTGCATCATTTACAGTTTGTACTGAGCCTTGGGGCAGCCCCTCAGTTCATTCTCTGTCTGAAACAAGCCAATTAGGCTCCTCCCCCTTCGACCAAGTTTCTCCTAGATGGTTCACTCTCACAGCCAGTGTTGCATATGTAACATGACCACATTAAAATTAAATAAAAATTTAAGGTTAGCTCCTCCTGCTAGAAGTCTTAATATTTTTAACACCTGTTTGTGAATGTTGACTCTGTAGCCTATTTAGTCTGACACGTCTGACACGTCTTCACATCTTCGGTGCTGAACCATTTGGATCATAAAAATGTCTTATATCTGCTCATCGTATTATTTGAAAGGTCTAATATAAGTATCCACCACTGTAACGGTGCTGAACACACTGATTAGGAAACTCCATTTGTTATAAAAACAAGAAAAAAAATATTTTAGAAATCTAAAACTAAAAATTATGTTATTTTTTATTAGATTAATAAACTGAATTCACAGTTTGAACCCTTTCACACATAGTGGTCACTACAGTGCTATTCAAAGGCTGTTTTCTGGTATTTGTCAGTGTTGATGGTGTACTCGCACATAAACCAGTACATTGGACACTGATGTGTCACTCCCAACACGTTCTCACTCCCATAGCGTAACATTTTACGCTAGGTGACAAATCGTTGGTATATTACACTTCCAGGCACCCAACACGTCCCTATCCGGTCGTTAAGTCTGATGTCACTAGCCGTGTCTGGGCCTAAACTC